GGACAGGCGTCGTCCCAATGCCCACTGTCCACATGTCAATAAGATTTCAGGATTAATTATAAGGAAAACTAATGAAAAGAGTTTGAAAACTTTGAATTTTAATGATAAGGACAAAATAAAGGGTAAAGTGAATAGTATCAGGTTTGACTTTTTAGTGTAAAAATATGGTTTTTCATTAAAGTGAACAGTATCGTGAGATTTTCGTTAAAACTCCCTTTATTATATCATTTATTTGGTTATTAGTATTAGATGCATTGTGTGAAAGATACACGTTCGATATAAAAATATATTTAGTATAAAATTAGCATACTGTTTGCTGAATCATGTCAATGTATATGGGCATCCGCATGCGCTAAAAGTAACATATTTATAATAAACTCTTAATTTATTTGATAGAATTTGTGAGAGTAGTTGTTACTATAGTTCGATAAAGATATGCATCAACTAAATAAGTTGCAAGACATACACAAATTATTTAATTACTAGCCTCTTTGCACACACTAACGTGTGTGCGAGAGGTTTTTTTGCATTATAGGCGCTATAGATTTAGCTATAGATTTAGCTGTACAGGCCACTTTAGGTGGATTCGGCTGATATGTTATCTCACATGAGTTACTTATTCTGTTATTTTGAGATATTTGGCATGGCATATTTATTAATATCGTTTTCTGAGCATGGTATTGAGATATGTATATATATATATATATGCATTCTATTTTATGGGAAACTATACTGGTTTTACGGCGAGGGTTAGAGCTTTTGATAAATGAAATGGTTTTGAAAAGCTTTGTTTTTGCCCACTCACACTTTTTGTTTTGCGCCCCTCTAGGTTTTAGTTAGGAGTGCTTGTAGGTGGCTTACGAGGAATTCACGGCAGCTCTGACATATTATTACCAATGTAGGATTATCTTTGTTGTTGTATAATTACTATTCGTCATGTTGGACTGCACTTAGGCTACTTATACTCTGATTGTGAACTCACACTTAATGTCGCACTTGCATCTTACCTTATCTAGTGCTCTAGTTATTTATTCACATTTCCTTATATCTTTATTGCTTCTGCACTGTGCATATGGCTACGTCACCTTCACGTGACGGCCAGCATGCCTCGATCTAGGTCGGAGAGTGTCATTAATGATAAAAAAGGAAATTAAAAATAAATCAAACATCAAACTATCAAAGTAACATATCTGAGAATGAAGACGATTTAGTTTTTGCGGGAAAGGAATAAAAATAAAAATAAAAATAAACCAATTGCAACTGCTAACTGCAGTTTCAAAAAGCCCATAAAAATCCTGTAAACAAACCAAAGGGTGGGTTAAAAAAACCGAAAATCATACCAAACCGAGGCTGAAAAAAATCGAATCAAAATTGTCAAACCGAACCGAATTGAATTTGGCTGGTTCGGTTTCGGTTTTTGAGGTCTGAAAACCGAATCAGACCTAACCGAACCGAAAAAAAAATCATATAATACTAAAAAAACATGATGGCATCAGGGTTTGAACCCCTTTCCTACAGGTTGGGGTTAGTGGCTGCAAGCCAACTTGACTATAGGCTTTATATTATTATAATTGTACCAGTAAATTATTTATAGGTTTCTTATGTTTAATGCTTTATAAAATTTCTTAACTTTACAAACCCTAGTCGTTTCACTCTTATTTCATTTCAGATCTCAAACATTTATCTCGGTTCTGTCCGCTGCTTCCTCTCTGCCTTTGCTTCCTCATTCTCTCTCTCTCTCCAAATCACTCTCTTTCCAGTCTTCTCATGTCCTCCTCGTGGATTCCTTCTTCCAAACCATGATTTTCCCTCACCCCTTTGGAGACCCGACGAGACCTGACGAAAAGAGGAATTGTAAGAGCTTGTGACGATTATGGTGATATCGTTGCAGCAAAGATTGTGGGTTTTATTTATTTGTCAGTTCATTGGTTTTTAATTTTATGGTTAGCCATTTGAAATTTATGTAATTTAAGGTGAAAAAGTTAGTATTTTTCTCTGAATATGTTCTGGAATTTTCTAGATCTATTGTGGACTTGACTATGAATTTGAATGTGGGCACTGGGCATGCGATATTGGAGTCCGATTATGGCATTTAGACGAACCCATTTTCTTTTTTTTTGTTTCGATCTGCATCGATCAATTAATTTGTTGAATTATTTCATGATTTTGTAAATTTTAAAGTTTTATAATTATGAATCATGGCAATGTACATTATGTTTCTGTGATATATGAGAACTGGGAGGTTGATAGGTAGGTTCCTTCCATTTACATCATTTAAAAAAAAAACTGAAAAAACCGAAACTAAAAAAAAAATGAATTGAACCGAACCGAAATTTTGGTTCGGTTTCGATTTTGGCAAAAAACCGAACTGTTTTGAACTGAACCCAGCCTTAAACAAACCTATTCTTCTGCCTTTACTTGCTTTACGTTTCTGCAGCGAACAAAAATTTTAAAAAAATTATAAAAGAAAAACCCAAAATGAAATTAAACAATGCCAGCACTTCATGCATGTGTTCTTTATTCCTCTATCCTGTTCTTGGATTGCTGTGTGTTCCATGATTGGGAAAGGCAGTTAAGGGTATCATTCGCTTCTGATAAATTGAGTTGGAAAAGAACCCCAATTGATGGAAAAATTTGTAGATCGTGGAAGGTTAATTTTTTTATTTTGAATCGCACATTCAGCAGTTATATCTCTTTTCCGCAAAACTTCTTCTCTTTACAGCTTAACCCACGTGGCTTTAATCCAATTTTTTTATTTATAAATTCAGTTTTTTATATTTTTATGACAAAATTACCCTTGCGAATTTGTTTCTATTATTTCAGTCAGTTTTGATTTTTTTTTGTTTGGGGGTTTTTTTTGTCCAAAACGTTTTGGTGAAGCCTTGAGACACCAAACTCTCATTCTGACTTTCTAATATTAAAGATTAAAGATTAAAGATGAATAACTATGAACCAGCCAGTCAGGTCTTTTTACCTAGCCACTTGCATCAAGAGTTAAGTGTTAAAATATATGTTAAGTGCTAAATGAGACAGGTCAAAGGTAACTTACAACAAAATTGATATCGTTTCCAATTTGTGCAAGTGGTAAGTAATAAATTGAAAACAATATCGATTTTGTCATAAGTTGTTTTTGACTTGTCTATTTGATAATTTAACATGGTAATGGATTTAAGAATAAATAGTATAATCGATAATCTGCTTAATAATAACTTGATATCACGGAACTCGTTGGGACCCCGCTCCCAGTGTCAGGTCCATGCACCATCTCCAACCGAAGGATCCAGAGGGCCAGAGGGCCGAAAATAGCCCTAAAACCGTCTCAAACCGGGGGCTAGGCCAGAGGGCTCTGGAATCTGGGAGGGCCCCACGGGATCGGAGAGGGCTGGAGGGCTGGAGGGCTGGCTATTTTTTTTTTAATGATTTCCTATTGCTGTCGGTTATAGCCGACAGCATTAAAGATATTCTTTTTTTTTAATAGTTCTACTATTAGTGTCGGTTATAACCGACACTAATAGTTTGAAATGTTTTTTTAATATAACGGCTAGTAGCCGTTGTATTATTAGGCCTCTTTTTTTTTCTTTTTTTTTTTAATGAATTTAAACTTCTTTGTTTTTATTTTTTTTAATGAATGTAAACTTCTTTTTTTCCCCTTTTTTTTTCCTTTTCATATGAATCAAATTTTGTTTCATATTTTTTTTCCTATAACTTTTATTTCACAAAATTTGTTTCATATTTTTTTCAATTCTATTTTTTTCGTATAACTTCCTAGGCCATTTATACAACATTAAATTGTAGTTTTTAAATAATAAATTATGTTTGGCCCTATGGCCCTTTGACCCTCGGTTGGAGATGGTTTTTTGTGACAGGGCTAAAACGAGCCCTTTGGCCCTCTGGCCCTCGGTTGGAGACGGAGGCAAATATGGCCCTGTACTGTTCATTAAAATATTAATATCTTGGGGAATCTTGGAGGGCTAGAGGGCTCAAACGAGCCCTCTGGCCAGCCTTCGGTTGGAGATGGCCTAACCCCAACAGGATCTTCTCTGGATCCTTTTGGTGAGGATCCTGCGAATTCGTAAATTTTGTTCGTTCATCGTACATCATGCGGTTAATTTTTGTTAAATAATATTTGTATTTAATTTTAAATAAAATAATTTAAAATAATTTATGACTACACGATTAACGGATACGATTCACGAAGAGAATCCGGATTCCATCTAACCTACCCTTGTGACTTACAGATGGGAGTATTTTAATTTTTAATTTTAATATAATATTTGGAATAAAATCCTGTCTCTAGAAGTGGGTCCCCTTCTTGTAACGAATTCAAGCAGGCGCCAAGTCTTTCTACTCGTTTAATAAGATCTTTTTGTTGATTTTGTTTTGATGAGACTAGTTCAATTTTTGTGTCAAATTATCATGATCAATGTCTTAATGGAGGATTTAAACAGGGTTAAATTAATAAAATGAATATCATTATCTCACCACTAAACGATTTTAAACTCAAAGTTTCTTATGCAACAAGAAAGGAGAAATCATTTGAATATATGATAATCATCTATTGGACGAAGGAAAGGAACATACCGAGACTACGTCTTAATTGTAACGAGAGAATCTCTTCAATCAAAGACCCCAACTGGCTTCAACTACGCAAAACATGTCCACTCTGCAAGCTTCAACCACACAAAGAGGTTCGCATCAAGATATAGATGCTCATCCCTCCGAATAAAGTTGTGTGGATAATAAGCTGAACGATTCTTCGAAGCTGTTTTTCTTCTTTCTTTAAAAATAGCATCGATGATCGATTTCCGATGATTCAAACAGATCTGATCATCGGATGATTCAAACGGAGTTGTACGAATGAACACAAAAAACCATCACATAGCTGTTGAATTATGATCAGGGATAAAAAGCACAAGGATTTGGCAAAGCTCGATTCGGAGAGAATCACATAAACTCAATCGGAAAGTAAAAGCACGAAGCAAGCAGTGGACAGCAGAAGATAACGAAAACACAAATGGTATATATACTGTAAATGACTGTTCAGATCGACTCAACAACAGCTTCAATTTGTACAGATTTGCTTCATAAGCCGAACTCCGAAACACCTAAATAGAAACACAGTGAAAGGGTGGTGCGGTAGAAAACACAATCAATCTGTTCTCTACTAAATGCCGCACCCCCTCAGAGCTTTCTCCTAAACAAGAAGAACGAACGCGCTCATTATTTGGTTAACAATCAAACTTACTTACACGACGCATTTTATTTACACAAATCCCTTGAACATAATTACACTAGCCACAAGGATCGACTTCCTTCACTCTCCGAGAATTTCAAAATTTCCTCTCAATGCTATCAAGTGTAGAAAACTTTAGCTTCATGTTCTCCTATGTACCTTAGTTGATAAAAAATCGGGCTCTTTATGCCAGGGTAGGGATGCTGCAGTTCCTTCGATCCCTGTCCAGGCAATCAAACCCCTCGACCCTCACTGCCGGTTTGCTCCCAAAATTGGTCCTAGCACAGCCTCCTTTCCTCGTGGACGAGGAAGGAGACGATGATTGACCTGACGGGGCAGGTATTGGCGACAGTGATGGGGACGAGAGGAGCTCCTCATCCCCAAATCGAGCGTCCTGAATTAATGGGTTAGCTACTCTGCTCGGTGGCGATCCGCAATAAAATGGGTGCTGCGAGGCCATTTCTGTACACGAAAATTGTTCAACACCAAAGGATCCCTACACAAATCAAACATCAAGAAATAAATTAAACATCACACACATTGAATTACTGACTTGATTACCATAATTGCCTAATCAGCATTCAGTTAATTGCAGATCGAGAAGTACCTTAGTGAGAATATTGTCTAAAATATCAGACCCGGCTTTTGAATCACAGAACTCCGCCTGGTGGCTGAAATTCAAATAATTAAAAATCAAAACCAAACTAACGAAATTTCACAATTTGAATTCTGAAACCCTAAGGATAGCACAAATAAAAATATTCCAAAACAGAAAGAAATTCAAAAATTCGAATTACCCGAAATGCCATCGGAAAGATCTGACGGGATCGTTGAGGAGGCCGAGGCGGCGAGGTTTGGGGCAGACGACGGAGTCCCTGGAGCAAGACCTCATGTCTTCGCAAGCTGAGAGCGCATTGCCTTGCTGTATCCCACAGTGATTCATTTTCCGCTCGGTTTAAAACGACGACGTAAAACCTGGTCAAGCAAATCAATTAAACGAAATTAAAAACTCGAGGGAAGGAGCTATAATACATATATATATATATATATATATATATATATCTGCAATAAATCCAAAAAATGGAGCATAGTAAATGACAGGTTAACAGATCTGATCTGGATAAATTGTAACAGAAAATGGATATTAACTTGAGCGTAAAAATTGAGGAAGGAGATCTGGAGAAGTCGGATTGTTTTCAAAAACGCCAGATCCGAAGACAAAGATTGGAATTACCGAAGATTTTGATGGAAACAAGAAAAATCATAATTAAAAAAAAAAAAGACATGTCAGTTTACCTTTAGAGTTTGAGTGAAGAAGTTAGCAGCTGCTTAGTTGCAGGTGGGAAAAATGGAATGGAAAATTAGGGGGGGAAAGGGAAGGGGTTTGGTTGGAGAGGAAGGAAATGGGAAAGGAAGGAAGGTTGACAACGCAGAGTCTCCATCGAATTTATAGGGCCAATGGCTCAACAGAAAAAGAGAGCGAACAAAGAATCGTGTGATTAATTAATAAAAAATTGAGGGGAGAGAGATTTTGGGAATGGGCGAGGGCAACGGGGGGAGAGAGAGAGAAGTAAAGTGAGGAACGTGATATGTGTGGGAACTTGAGAGTTGAGAGTATGTAACTTATCTGGTGCGGATACAATAGATGTGGCATTTTGTGTTAATAATATTATAAATCGTGATATTTACATATTTTATTTTACTTCTTATATACTCTTTGATAATTTATGTTCGTTGATCTTATTCAATTCATCTGATTCGACGGTTGAAAATTAAAAATGTGTGAGAAGTAAAATGGGATGTGTGGATATCACACCCCTAATATTATTTCTACGGCTTAAAATTTCGTTCAGGTTCAATGTTATTGAGATTTACATAGTCAAATTTACTGTACAATGATTGTGTATCTCTTGACATGTAAGGTCATTTTCAACCGACCCGGCCAAAGGGTCATAGGGTTAAAAATAACTCGGAACGACACGAAAACCATTTCCAGCCGAGGGCTAGACCAATAGGCTTGTGGGTCCCACCGGGCCCAAAACCCTTAATCAGGCCAGTGGGTTGGCTATTTCCAACCAGCCAACCCTCCAGCGCCATAATGTCAAGTTTGACATTTTGCCAACCATCCAGCTCCAGAATGTCAAGCTTAACATTCCGTCAGCCTTCCAGCTCAACCCATTTGAATGTCAATGGCTACCGGGCATCATCATGACGCCAGCTAGCAATGGCTAGCTAACGTCAGGTTACCGTTTGAATTTGAAATTTTTTTTTAGACAAATTTATAAAATTAAAAAAATATTTTTTTTCCTATAAATACCTACATCGTTCCTACAACATTGAAAACTGAAGATAAGAAATGTCACGTAGATAAGAATCATATCTAAAATTTGCACAACCAATTACATTTTGACACGTGACACTCGAAATCTTATCAAAAAAATTATTAAGATTAGATAAAGATAAGAAATATGGAGAGTTACTCACTTTAACGACACTTGTCACTCAAAATTCTACCTGAAAAATTATTGAGATTACATAAAGATAAGAAATCTGGAGAGTTACTCACGTTGACGACACGTGTCACTCGAAATCTTATCCAAAAAATTATTGAGATTATATAAAGATAAGAAATTCAGAGACTCATTCATTTGGCAACAAGTGACACTCAAAATATGTCTGAAAACCTTATTTTAATATGGTGGTTTTATTTAATTAACCATATTAATTTAATTAAAATAATAAATTATGTTTGGCCTATGACCCTTTGGCCCCTTCGGTTGGAGATGGTTTTTTGTCAAAAGGTTATGTTTGGTCTATGACTTTTTGGCCCACTCGGTTGGAGATTGTATAAAATATGGCCTAGCACTGTTCATTAAAATATAATTTCCTGCAGGACTATAGAGCTAAAGGGAGCCATTTGGCCTTCATTCGGTTGGAGATAGCATAAGTCCTCGACTCGAGAAGGCTTAAAAGTTTGGAGTGTACCAAAAGTTTGGATTAGAAAAAGAGTAATGTTGGATAGACTAAATTTTTAAACCAAATTTTGTAAATCAAATGATATGGATATTGATGATTAGATTATTACTTGAGTGTTAATCTCCCTAGCATAACCCGAAAGAAAATCATAGAAGTATTTTTTCTTTTGAACATAAAAATGATAGAATTACTTAAAACTACAAAAATTATACAAGTAGTTACAAAAGACAATACTTGCTTGGATACCCCATGAGGGACATCATCTCATCTACTATTTTCGATTAATGTACTTTAATTGTACAAATTCGTTAGCAAAACTATTCATTTTCTTAATTGTTAATTTTTTTATAAAAAAATATGCAAAACAAGTGGACAATTGATCATCAATATGTCATTTAATACTAAGACCGTATATTTGTATGATGCATACGTATTACTAACTGTCTTGAATTAGATTGATATTTTCTAAAAATAGTGATTAAATGAGAATTAAGAAAATCTACACATTCGATTATGAAACTTTTGTAAAAAATACATTAGTCGCAAATGATAGACAATGTGTTATATAGGTGGATGCAAGTATTTTTTTAGAGAAAAATCCCAAAATGTACATTATAACAAAATATTTACCAGAAAAGTATTGGATTATCCAGTAGACTAGCCAAAACACATGAATGAATGGCCATATAAATATACATGCCCTTCAAGAGAAAGGATCTCCATTTTTTTTTATTAAAAATAGGGATTAGTTGTGGAACTCAATTTACATCGAACTTCAACGATTTGAATCGTCTCTTTTGTAAGTTTTGATTCACAGACCATCCTTACAAACATTCAATTCAATATGAAACCATTTGCCTATTTAATTATCACGATAAAATTTCAATGTTTTTTAGAGAACAAAGTGTTCGTCAATTTCTTTGAACTCAATTAAATACCTCAAATATTTCCGATTTGACTAATATTTTGTAAAGATAATCTATGAAGGGCAACTTGAAAATTAGACGGTTCGGATTGTTAAAGTTATGGACCCGAACTAATCCTCATTTTTATAAAGAAATGAAAATCTTTCTTAAAGATTTCCTTTAAATATATATTGTTAGGAATAACATTTTCATTGTTTAAAAGAAGTGCCATGTGCCTTCATAATAAGGATTATCTTTGTGAGGATTATGGGGATCCATGTATTGTGTCCGTTATCGTACATCGTGCGGTCAGAAATTATTTTAAATTTTATTATTTAAAATTGAACACAAACAGTATCTAACGAAAACTAACAGCACGATGTACAAGAAATAGACACGATTCACGGATCTTCGGGATCCTCGCAAAGAAGATCCAAATTCGTTCCTTCATTAGTCCTTCACCGCGTTTGTCAGTGGTTGCTAGATGTACATAGAACAAAGATCAACAGTATGGAAGAGGATCGTCTTCGGATCTACTTTGTGGATATTCTAGAGATCCTTACATCATAATCGTTTATTGTACATTGTACGGCCAATTTTCGTCAGGTAGTATTTGTGTTTAATTTTAAATAAAAAAATCAAATGATTTATGACCGCACGATGCACGATAAATGATTAAGATGTGAGGATCTTTAATATCCCCACAATTTGAATATGGATGGAATCCAAATCCCAGTTTTATAACACAATTAGCATGAAGCTTATCTATTCCAGAGTAGAACATACCATTAGTCTCTTTAAAAACTTAATTTTGTTTTAATAGTAATTAGATAAATCTAAGGTGAATTAACGAAAAGATTACATTACCATAAAACAAAGGCTTAATTGGATTAACAGTCTCCGTGGTGATATGGTAGTTTGAAGATAACCTCTGTGATGAAAAAACTAGGATTTAAGCTCCTATGGTAAAATTTTGTTAGGATTTATGCCCAAAATTGAAAATTCCTTTAATTTTCTGTTAATTATTAGCACATGAACCGCACATATTAGGCTAAAACAAAACTCTTCGTACACATTAGGTTAAAACGGACCTCTCCTTTAATTGTTAATATGTGGGGCTAGCTCAAGTGCTAATAAATCCTAACAGACTTTAGCACAGGAGCTTAAATCCTAATTTTTTTACCACATGCTCAAGCGACGCGGGTTACAGAACACAAAACTATAACCAGATCAAGAAAGGGAAATGCAAAGCAATTAAATGTATGTCATACACAACAGAAGACGGACTAAAACACAAATGCTTTATTTACACACTAAACGACTGTTTAGATCGACTCAACAGCGGCTTCAATTTATACAGATTCGCTTCGCAAGCCGCTCTATGAAACTCCGAAACACCTAAATGGAAACACAACGAAAATTTTCCCACAGTACTCTTTTACTTTTTACAATACAAGAGGGTCGTAAACACTCCTAGACACGATCGATGAACCCGTTTATTATTTGGTTAACATCTCATTTACTTACACGACACTGACACATTTCATTTACACAAATCCCTCGTACATATATACACAAGGTAGAAGGATCGTCGTAGTTCTCTTCTCGTGCTGAAAATTTCAAAATTTCCTCACAGTGCTATCAAAGTAATGTGGTTGGCTATATCAAACTTTAAGCTCAGTCTTTTCCTATGTACCTTCATCGATTGAATTGGGATCTCATGCCAGGGTAGGGATACTGCAATTACGTCGATCCCTGTCCAGGCAATCAAACCCCTCGATCCTCACTGCTGGTTTGCTCCCGAAACTGGCCCGAGCATAGCCTCCTTTCCTAGCAGATGATGAAGGAGACGATGAAAGGCCCAATGGGGGAGCGGTTGGCGACAGTGGTGACAATGGGGTGAGTTTCTCATCCCCAAATCTAGCATCCTGAATTAATGGGTTAGCTACTCTGCTCGGCGGTGACCCGCTGAAAAATGGGTGCGGCGAGGCTATTTCTGTACACGATAATTGTTCAACACCAAAAGATCCCTGCAGAAAATCCAACATGAACAAAATAATTATGAACCAGATGCTAATCATTTCTAAATTATGAGCTTAATTCTTAATTTTTTTGTAATAAAAACTGCAGATCCGGAAATATTTTACATACCTTTGAGAGAATGTTGTCCAAAATTTCAGACCCTGCTTTCGAATCATAGAGCTCCGCTTGGTGGCTGAAATTCATTCAAACAAAGAATTAAAACCGATATTTAAAACAATAGAAAGGATTGCATAATCTGAAACCCTAGACGAATAGTATCTTTTGGGGGAAATAAAAAATGAAAAATTGGGAAATTACCCGAGATGCCATCGGAGAGATCTGACGGGATCGTTCTGGTTAACGTTAAGGAGACCAAATCGGCGAGGTTTGGGACAAACTACCGAGTCTCTGGAACAAGTCCTCATGTCGTCGCAAGCTGAGAGGGCGTTTCCTTGCTGAATCGCACAGTGATTCATTTCTTCCTTGCTTGCAAACGACGTCGTACAACCTAATCAAACAAATCCTTAATCAAAATTAATCGATCTAAAACAAGCTTAATTAGATGCGAACTCAACAGATCTGATCTAATCTGAAATTTTCCAGTCAATTGAGCAGACAGAGATCAAAATTCATAAACTGATATCAAATCATTTCTCTACAATCAGAAGCACCAGATCGACGAACAAAATTGAAACAAAACAATAAAAATCAGCAAAAAATAGATGTAAATACCTGAAGTTGGGTGAAGAGTTGAGCTGCTTGGCTTGCCTGTGTAAGGAAACCCTAATTGCTACAAGGACATCACAATAGAGAGGGAAAAGGAAGCAAAAATTAGGCGAGAGGTAGAAGACGGACGGGGAAGGAAACAAGGTTAATAGAAGGGAGCGTCCATCCGATTTATAGAGAAAAAAAATAATAATATTAAATTCGAATTAAATCGGAGAGGGGATGGAAATTAGGTTTAGGTATTGGGCAACAGATGACAAAGCTAGAGAGAGAAAGAAAGAGGAGGAGAGAGAGAAGCACGACGGCGGCTCTCCCTTATCTTTCCTCTCTGATTAAATACTGATATTTTGCTAATTTAATATTTTAATAAAAATTAAAATATGTTTCTTTGGGTTGTCAAGTTGTTAGGGAATGGTGGAATAATATTTTATTTGTTTCACGCAGGCGGTGCCTCCCGCGAGAACTCACATCGATTTCGCCACCCAAGCCCATTGGAAGACCTAACCGTTGCCGGTTTTTTTTTTAACTTGACTGTACCTGCAACCCCCCACGTGTCACGTGCACCAGCATCTAAGTTTATTTTTGTATATTTTGATGCTTCAATCGCAAAATTATATTCTCTTTCGCCCCTCGACAAAGTGGAAAGCTAAAAGAGAAATTTCTCCTCGAAGTATCGGTTACAGAATCAATCGTAACTAATAGATAGGTCCAAGTACGTTTAATGTATTTAATTATTTATTTTTATACGATTTTATGACTAAATTATCTTATATTTTATTATTTTTTACATAAATTAATTTATAATATGAATAATTTTGATCATAAATACAAAATTTTGTGAAATTATAACAAAGTTTGTCGAGGAGGAACTTTTCCTCGATTATCGAATAGCCAAATTAATTCCATTGATAGAATACAAGTATGGTTCATGAAAGTTCAATTTTAAACATTTGTTTTTTAGTTGTTTGACTACTTAATGCTTAGTTAAATTGGTGATATGGTAAATAGAGGACTCACTTTTTGCTTGACTTGAAAGCCACACCTGCATCTCATAGACTAAAATTAGTTATATGGCTTCGACTTTTCTTTAATTTATGTTTCGTATGTAGAAATGGCAACAAATCGCATGATTGGGATTTAATAATTAAAGTGTGTGACTTTTACATTGCTACAAACATGCCTACATCCATCACGTCATAAATTAATAATCATACGATTAAAAATACGAAAAACATAAACCGATACGATTTTACATTTTTTTGTTTCCTACCTTTTAATATTTAGAAAACAAAATACGCAAACGAGAATTTTGAAGTGCTTACCAATAAAAACACGAGTCCTTTTTTCTAACGAACATGATAAGGTGACGTTTCTCATTCCCAATCTTGTTTAAGACTTTGGACCAAAAAAGTCTTGTTTAAGACAAAGTGGTGACGGCCACGATTTGGCCACCTTTTCTCTTTGACATTACAAATGGGCGGCAAAATAGCCGCATATCCAGCATCATTCCCGCCCTAAATATCCCCTACACAGTTGGTATATTCACCGGCGTGTCGAAACAAAATAAAACGGCCTAAAGCGAGACAGATGCCACTCAAACAAACATAACAATATTTTGAGCGCGTTGACGAAATACCAAGGAGACTGTTGCAGCTTGAATTGTGGCATATTATTCTGATGTTGTCACGGATCATGATCCACGATGTGCGTTTGGAAATTGGTTTTTGCATGTTTGGACTTGCTGGTGGAACCAAAACCTAGCAAGTAGGAGGTGTCGTCCTATGCTTGTAGCTATGATTCGTGGTAAGCATGTGATGTGTTTCCTTTCGATGCTACAAGACACGAACACCATGTCGACAATTGCGCAACTAAATTTAATTGTACGTGCCCCATAATGAATGGACATGAAAAGTATTTAGTAGGACAAACCAAGTAATGGTGGATGTGAAGAGAAGTGAAGCTTATGTTTCTAGGCTACAAATGAAGAGATTCTTGTGTTCGTATGTCTGTGTAGAGCACCAGGTAAAAGAGGTCCGATTAAAAGATGAAAGAGACTAAAATACAAGAAGATGGAGTGTTTTGTGCCGATAATCCAACAACTATGTCATTTTTTGTCATATGCATCCAAAAATTTGTTTGACTCCTGGCTAGATCTGGCAAACGAGTCGTGTTTATCGTTTTTGTGACGTTTTCGTGCCATACTAATTATTTTAACGGGTAGTGTCGTGTCAAACTTGTTATCTTAATGTGTTTTTAACAGGTGACTTGATTCGTTATGGGTTGTATCGTTTCGTGTCGGGTGAACGAGTCATGCAAAAAATTGCCACGTCTAATGTCTTGACATGACAAATGATATCTTATTGAATTCTTAATAAATGATTTAGTAACGATTTGATTCATTAACTGATTGTGTAAAAAATTGTCAGGCTTACATGTGACTTTCTTTTATTTTAGGTTGGAGGCAGTTATAGCTTTTGATTGGGCTTTTACCTTTCTACTTTACCAGTCCACATAAGTAGTTGCATGATATGTAGGGTTAGGTCATCACCAACTTTTACCCAAATTAAACCAAAACTCAAAAATATTTGCAGCCATGTACAGTTTTTGTGACTGAAATGACGCGTTTGGGCACGTTTCTAACGCGAAACATGAGCACAGATCGATAATTTAGTAGTTAGGGGCATTGCCTTTAACGTTACTTTCTGAGAAAGTTAGAATTGTGAGAGTCTGGGAGGCGGAGCAATTTGACAACTACCTAATCATGTTATGTAATAGCATTTGGACCCGCTATCAATTTCCTTGGATTTTGATCGTGATGGATTTCCATCTCCACCACTTTATTGTCCTCGTGCCATCTGAAGAAAAAAAATTAAAATTGCTTCATGAGAAAGTACTTAATTGAAAAGCGCTCGCTGTATCTCTCAAAAATAGCACCTGTTTTGTAACGAAAATTTCAACGTGTTTTTATGAAATTACTTCAAACAAACTCGCCAACGAAAAAAATATAGGTAGAGAATTGTACGATTTTTGATGCGAGGCTCACCAAACTTGACTTTTATAGTTTAGGGTTTAGGGTTTGGCGGTCTCTTTCTTATCTTCCATTTCCAGATACGGCTGCGACAGAGTGGTTACTTAATCACTGGGCAACAGCCTAAAAGCCTGCCTTTTTGAGGAAAAAATGAAGACCTATAGACCACTACGTCACGGCCAATTCAAGGGTTGATAAATATTACTTCTCACGTTATATGAAACAATTGCCAGGTAAAATGATAATAACAGGAAAGAAGATTAACATGCCTAAAAAAATTGTTACCGCGTACGACTTCACCTACAGTCTCGTACAGGCTGATCATGAAGTCGTCTACGCAGACACAGAATCAGTTGCAGCAGCAGCAGCAGCAGCTCGTTTCTTGGCAAAGTATTCATCAGCGCGTGCAAGGTTCTTGGCAACCGATGGCTTTACCCACTTCTTCCTACCCGGCAATACAGTGAGGTTGCACCCAGCAGCCTCTAGTTTCTCCTTTGCTGCTGCTGAGAAGGCACGTGCCTTTATATCCAGCTTCACACTTAGCTCCCCATCACCAAGAATCTAGAAAAATAGAGAGCAGGCAACTTTATTCTTTTACCATACCAAGATGCTTAACGAGCAGTGCACAGTGATAAATACCTAAGTTTTGTAACGTTCCTGTGAAGCTTAGGAATTATCGGGCCACATGAAGCTTGCAGTGGCCCTAATGCTTGTACCACATTTCTATTATTCTATAGTTTTTCCATTAAAATCTCAATGTATCATCCGGATACTTTAATCGTAAAGGACGCATTACAGCTGCTGAATAAGGTAAATAAGCCTACTTATACTGCATTTTTACAAAATTACAAAGAAAACCTAATATACTATCAATTGCATAAGTGCTGGATCACACATGTGGATTTGCCAAGTTTTGGCCAGAATGCATCGCAGTTGGGATGCTTTAACCAAAACACGAAATCTAGTAATTAGAAAATCATCCAGGCTGAAAGTTCTACACTATGATTCTCTGCCAGTTACACTATCATTAAAAACAAAAGAAACAACAATCTGAAGGAGGAATTTTCAGCTAGAGATTATCACTGTTTTGCATTTCCCAAGGCTCATTGTCGCATTTAGCATGGCGCAGCGGCCCAACAGAGGTATAGAGGCCAGATTTACAGGGTTTAGGCATGAGAAACAGGCGACATTAGTAAGTTAACAAACGGAAAAGATGACTAAATACTAACGCTAGGTGTAAGACTCAAGGTTTGATTTATCCATCCATACTTTAAAGTTTAAAGCAGCATATTATATATGAGCATTCGAACATTTTACATTGTGTAGAGCAGACAATTTAAAGTATATACCTTCAAAGGGAGTTTCCGTTCTCTTCCGGATGGGTTGATCAGACCCTTGTTCTTCAAAGTTTGCAATGACACTTCTTCGCCTTCTTGAAACCCTGCGGCTTCTATGTCTTTCAAGTTAACAGGGACATACTTCGGTAGCCCCGCACTCATACCTTGTCAAGAAAACAAAACAAGCTTTGAGCAATGCACGAACAAATGTCACTGAAGCATTTTCACGAACACATGGCGTGCATTCGCAATCAAGAAATAAAAGACGAGATAATGTAACTACCTCCAGCAATTCCCTTAAGTTTGGGAAGTCGACGGTAAAGCGGCATCTGACCGCCTTCAAATCCAGGGCGGACGCCGGGTCCGGACCGAGACTTCTGTCCCCGCATACCGAACCCGCAGCTGTTCCCTTGCCCGGCTGCTATACCTCTTCCCTTTCTCTTGCCCTTCTTTCTGGACCCGGGTTGCGGGCCCAAATTGTCCAGCCTGAACCGCACATTGCCGACCGGAGCCCCGACGGTGGACGCCGCCGCCTTATTCAAAATCACCAGTGGTCTTCTTTCTGTAGCTCCGATCACCTTGACGGAGGGAACTCTACACAGTTTTTGCCCCAAGTTTCTCGCATTTCCCTGTAAAAATTGAAACTATTAGCAGCTATTTAGCAAATCATATCAAATATTAGACAGAGAAAGCTTGAGAGAAAGAGAATGCCTTGAAGGAGGAAGAAGGAAAGCTGAGAGGTGGAGCTGGAGGAAGAAAGAGCAGGGAGGTTGCCATGGATGACACAGAGCGGGAGCTAGCAGACCAGCAGCGTGTGGCAGTAACGGATAGGATAAGCTTATTCAGCATCTTCTTCCTTCTTTTTATTGGTAAAATTGCACAAATGCCCCTAGAGTTTTAAAGTTTTGTGCAATTACGGCGTGAACTAATTTTATCTACAATTAATCCTCAAACTTCATGATGTGTTTCTGTACTCAAATTTCTTAAATGCCATTTTTAAAGATGTATTTCACTCTCTTGGGGTCAAGAACACTCACAAAAGTATTTTAACATTTTCTGTTCGCCATCGTATAATTCTTTAGTATTGAGAATTGAACTCAAGAAGTGCCGTAAGAAATACTCATTACACATCATGTCACAAGCTCCTTGATGCTTATGCGTTGCAGTTTGCCGAGGGCTTGAAGAACTTTTTGAATGTTAGGGCCAAAGAGCTTGTGCCTGGAGGAATGATGGTAATGATCTTGTCTGGAATCCCCAAAGGGATGCCTCATTCTGAAATCCCAGCGGGTATGTTGTACAATTGTATATCGTCTAGCCTCATGGACATGGCAAAAGAGGTAAATCGATAACTCATTATTTATAAGGAAAATTAATGAAAATGTCTTGAAAATTTTGAGTTTTAATGATAAGAACAAAATAAATAGTAAAATGAATAGTACCATGATTGACTTTTTAGCTTTAAAATGTGATTTTTCTTTAAAGTAAACAGTACTGAAATCTTTTCGTTAAGCTGCTATAATTTACATTGAAAATATTAAAATAACTTTGGTGTGCGTTAAAGGATATCACAAATAGACAAAAACACGAAAGTAGAATTGCACATGCTGGGGCTCTAAAAAGTGTAGAGGAGCCAATAAGTGTTTTTACTGGAAAATATAACTTTTTACAAATCTTTAAGTAAAGAAAAAATTCATTAACTGAAATGTTCGTTTATTGTTTATTTAGTGTTCTCTAATAATTTTTTTTTTTTAATATTTGAAGCACAACCATAGATTTTCGTTCTCTAAATTTTTTTCCTCAAAGAGGTGTTTTAGAAAACAAAATAATTGTTGACCCACAAACATAATAATTAAAAAGAATAACATAATTATATACAGTTAAAACAGAGATGACTGGAAAAGAACAACTGCATAAATTCATGTTGGAATATGTTGCATTTCCTTTTTCTTCCACAGGGAATAATTGAAGAAAGTGAAGCGGATTCCTTCAACTTGCCATATTATGCAGCCTCGTTAGAGGAGATGGAGGAGATAGTAGAGAAAGACGGGTGCCTTAAGAAAGGGAGAATGGAGTCGTCAAACCCAGCAGCATGGCTGAAAGGTCGTCCAGTTGACATACCAACTTTGGTGTGAAACATGTAAGGGCTGCAATGGAGGGGATGTTTGCCAGACACTTTGGAAGTGAGGTCATCGATGAAATGTTCGGAAGAGTGACCGATAAACTTCTAGATACTTTTATTTATTTATTTTGCTTTTTTCGGTCTATAGAAACCATCATTACAACAACAAATCTTATTCCACTAAATTCTGTACAACAACATGATAATCCAATAATCCAAGAATTTCAAACTAACCAGCATTATAGAATTTTCTATTTTTTAATCGTCACTAAAATTCAAATCAACTTTGTAGGAAAATAAAAAATAAAATTGAGCATAGCCACAAGATCCATTGTGACATCGTGATCTAATTCTATAGTTGGTGCTGGGGTTTAATCCATACGTTGGATTTGTCTCTGAGGAATCAATTCTTGGTCCAACAGACAAAGTCTATATCTCCATCAAGATCACTTCCTGAACATTCATTTGGATGAGTTTAATCATGGAACCCAAATGCAGAACCATTTTTTCTGCGAGCTAATATTGAGAGTTTAATATGTTTAGTTTCCTTCAAAATATATATATATATATATATATATTTTTTTTTTGGAAACTGGGAAATTCATTACCCGTGCGTTTCCTCCAATATTTCCCGTCACAACTAAAAATTTCTCTAAATAAAGTAGCAAGGGTAGTGAAAAATTGCATGTCTTCTGCAATATACTATTGTGTAAAAGTTTTCCCATAATTTGATTGATATACATTTAGACATAATGCAATTTTTCATATCATCCTTTAAGACTCCTCTATAGAAATTCGATGAGTAAAAAGGTTGAAATAACATTTAATACTTATTTCTAATGTTGTATGAGAAATGTGCGACTGTTTTAGGTAGACGGCCCATAAAAAATTTATGATTTTGCCGTTGAAATGCTTTAGGAAGGGATATTTTATAAATTACTTCATAAAACATCCATTTACAAAGCATTTCATAAATTGCAAGAGACTTTTCATAAAATATCAATTTACAAAGCAATTCATACATTGCAAGAAACTTGAAACTCAAATAATTACAAGCATTTATCCTTACATATGATATCTTATGCTATTGCATACTTGCATCTCAATAAACGTTCTATCCAGAAAAGTACGACGACCTTTCAAACCAACTTTCGAGTGTCAGAAACAAGAAACCGAAGATCGACCCATTATTCTATTATACAATAAGCAAAATGCACTCAATTTTTTACCATCAGCATAAGCAATTTACGAGCTTACACCATCATCAAGAAACAAACATACAAAACTTCCAACTTTCTCAACTCAAATGCAACCCATCCCAGAATTGGCGTCCTAGAGATGACATGTGTATACTTGCTTTATCCTTTTTGATGAGGACGAGCTTGTCATAAACGCACCATGGAAAGCTGATGAAATGGTCACGATTCATCCCCTCGTTGTATGTACCAAAATAATCAGGATGATATGTGACATGGTACCAAGCTGAAGCTTTGGCATAAACATCATCAGCTCCGGAATCTAAACCAGTTCCCTTCTCATTGAACCACGCCCTAGCTGAAGAGAAAGTTACTCAAGTAACTCAACATAATAGTAATAACAAACAGTTAAAAGTTAGTTAGGAAAATTACCACACTTGTAACTTTCCTTTACTCTGTTAGTCTGTTGTATTTAGCTTCCATATAAATACTCTTGTAACTTATCCTTTGAGGAAATGAAAATCATTTCTCAATATGGTATCACTCGCCTAAAGTCTCCCGACTAAGATCCTTCGTACGCTTCCTCTCATTTTCTTAGTAACCAAACAGGTCTCATTCCTGTCATTTTCTCTCTGCAATCAACAATCTATGGCGGCCAATTCTTCGACTTCTTCTTCCCCAGTGATCGCGCACCATCCTTCTCCTCCTGTGCTTGCTGATCCTCCTTCTTCTTCTCCAAATCCTCATCCTTCGGTTCAGTTGCCCACAAACCCTAATTCTTCAATTCAGGCCTCGATCAACTCGATTACGATACACAATATCGGCAACATGATTCAGACTAAGCTCAAGCGCCATAACTATCTTGTGTGGCGATCTCTCTTCGAGCCGATCTTTCGTCGCTACAAACTTACCGGTATTGTTGACGGATCTGAACCTCCACCGCCTCAATTTCTTGCTGATGATTCTGGTCGATTCACCTCCGTTCCTAATCCAGACTATGAATTGTGGTATGAGAAGGATCAGAACATCATTATCTGGATCAATTCCACACTTTCGGAAGATCTGATTCCTTTCACTGTTGGCGTTCAATCTGCGCGAGAACTCTGGCAAAATCTTGAACGGCGGTTTGGCGGTGTATCTCGTTCTCACATTCATCAACTCCGTTCAACCTTGCAATCTGCCAAGAAAGGTTCATCTTCTATTTCGGAGTATCTCCAACGCATCAAGGAGGCTACTGATGCTCTTGCCGCCGCTGGTGCTCCTGTGGATGATCATGATCTACTTCTCATCATTCTCAATGGCTTACCTGATGAGTATGATTCTTTTGTGGATTCTGTTCAGTTTCGACTTGCTGATACTACTGTTGATGATCTTCACGGATTTTTGTTAAGTAAAGAAATGGCTCTTGCTCGCAAGCATTCCACTCAAGGAACAAATTCTGCACCCTATCAAGCTTTTCAGTCTATTCCAGCGTCTTCACCTCCACTCCTTCCTACACCTCAGGCGTATATTGCTCAGCCTCCTCATTCCTCTAATTTCAACAGAGGCAATTTTCAGCGCAATAATTCTCAAAGGAATTATAATAATCGCAATCGATACACTCGTAACCACATCAACAAGAATGCTTCTAATCGTGAAGGAAATCGTAATGGTGAAGGATTTCGTAATGGTGCTCGGTTCTTTAACAATAATTCCAGGAATGTTCCTTGTCAAATCTGTGAAGACACTGGTCATCAAGCGATTGACTGCTCCAATCGTATGAATCCCAATTTTCAAGGCCGTATTCCACCAGCTAAGCTTGCTATGTATGCTCGCTCAAATGCCTCTTCTTCTCCTCCGTGGCTACTTGACTCTGGAGCAAGCTCTCATATGACCAACAACCTCCAAAATCTTCAGAATCCACAACCTTACAGTGGCCCCGATAAAGTCTACATTGGAGACGGCCAAGGTTTGCCGATTCTCCACTCTGGTTCCTCGTTACTTCATACTCCTTCTGCTACTTTTAAATTACAAAATGTGTTGCATGTTCCACACTTGAAGCATGATCTTGTTTCTGCAAATATGTTTCTTAGAGACAATTGGTGTTCCTTAACTCTAAATCCTTTTGACTTTCATGTCAAGGATCTTACTACGGGGAGGATGCTTTTTAGAGCTCCTGTTCGCTGTGGTCTCTATCCCTTTTCTGCCTCTTCTCAGTCTTCATCGAAGCATCATGGTCTTACTGCACTCAAGGCATCACAACACACTTGGCATCAACGTTTGGGGCATCCAACGTTCAAGACTTTGCAATCTGTGATCTCAAAGTCTTCCTTGCCTTTATCTACTATTGTCAAACAATCTTTCTGTTCGAATTGTGTTTTAGGCAAATGTGCCAAGTTACCTTTTCAGAATTCTATTTGTCATTCTTCTAGATCTTTAGAGTTTGGTTCATGCGGATGTTTGGGGTCCCGCTCCCCTGTCTTCTATCAGTGGATATCGATTCTATGTCATATTTGTTGATGACTTTACTAAGTACACTTGGCTGTATCCTCTCAAACATAAATCAGAAGTATTTCAAGTTTTTGTTCACTTTCAAGCTCTTGTTGAAGATCTGTCTGGTCACAAAATTGGCACTTTGAGATGTGACTCAGGGGGTGAGTTTATTAGTACTCAGTTCAAACAGCATTTGTCCAGTCATGGCATTCATCAACATTTTAGCTGTCCATACACTCCTCAGCAGAACGGGTGTGCAGAACGGAAACACCGACACATTGTGGAAACAGCCAGGACACTACTTATTGCATCTCAGGTTCCTCATCAATTTTGGGTAGAAGCATTTCTCACTGCAGTTTATCTCATTAATCGGCTTCCTCCAACTGCTAAATCTTCACCCTGGGAGCAATTTTTCAAGAAGAAACCAGATTATACTCAACTGAAAATCTTTGGTTGCAGCTGCTATCCTTGGCTCAAGCCATATACACAGTCCAAACTCGACCCCAAGAGCAAGTTATGCGTTTTTATTGGCTACAGTTTGGTTCACAAAGGTTACAGATGCTTAGACCCCTTCACCAATAGAGTGTATGTCTCCCGGCATGTCTACTTTGATGAAACCACATTCCCATTTCATAATCCCTCTCTTGTTTCACAGCTACCCTCTTGTGCTTCCTCCTCAGTCACTCCTTCCTCATTTTCCCTTACCTTTCCCAACCTTTATTCTTCATCCCCTCTTACTCCTTCTATTACACGTTCACAATCCCTTACCTCTCCCCCTGTCTTTCAACCTCCACCCTCTGTAAGTCCTACTGACTTTGCATCTGAATCAGTTTCTGTACCTGCACCTGTCTCAGTTCCTAATATTGTCCCAGTTCCTGATATTGTCCCTGTCCCACCTCCAACCCTTCCTGTCTCTACTCATCCTATGCAAACCAGGTCCAAATCTGGAATTTTTAAACCCAAGGCCTTTACTGTTACCAAGCATCCTCTTCCTTCCAACTTAAACACTGAATTTGTTCCAACTACATACATTCAGGCATCCAAATATCCCCATTGGAGAACTGCAATGCAGGATGAGTTTAATGCTCTGCAAAATACAAGAACTTGGACATTGGTTCCTTCTGATCCTTCTTACAATCTCGTTGGGTGCAAATGGGTCTTCCAGATTAAAAGGAACCCTGATGGTTCTGTGGACCGTTATAAAGCCCGGTTAGTAGCTAAGGGCTACAATCAGCAGGAGGGTATTGATTACAGTGATACGTTTAGCCCAGTGGCTAAACCAGTTACAATTCGACTTCTTCTCACTCTTGCAGTTCAGTCAAATTGGTTTCTGCATCAATTGGATGTCAGTAATGCGTTCTTGCATGGCTCTCTCAAGGAAGATGTGTATATGTCTCAGCCTCCAGGCTTCATTGATCAGGACAAATCTTCTTATGTTTGTCACTTGCAAAAATCCCTCTATGGCTTGAAACAAGCTCCTCGGGCTTGGTTTGAAAAACTGCAATCTGCTCTATTCTCTATGGGATTTAAGGCCTCACAATCTGATCACAGCTTGTTTGTGTTGCAACAACCTGTCTTGGTGATTGTTTTGGTTTATGTTGACGACATTCTTGTCACCGGACCTTCTTCCACAGCCTGCACTAATGTTATCTCTCAACTTAGTGATCAGTTTCCCATTAAGGATTTAGGCGATCTGCATTTTTTCCTTGGTTTGGAGGTTACCCGAGATTCTACAGGAATCTTTATTCATCAATCTAAGTACATCTTAGATCTTCTCAAACGCACTAAAATGGATGGAGCAAAGCCCTGCACCACTCCTCTTGGTTCTACTAAGCTTGATCTCACTGGTTCTCCATTGGATAATCCAGAGGAATATCGCTCTATTGTTGGTGCTCTTCAGTATCTTACATGGACTCGTCCGGATCTCTCCTTTTCAGTAAACTTGGTCTGTCAGTTTATGCATTCTCCTCGGGAACCCCATTTTCAAGCAGTGAAGCGCATACTTCGCTATCTTAAGGGAACACTTGGCTATGGTCTCTGGTTTCCTAAAAACTCGGCTCCTCTTACTCTCAACGCATATTCTGATGCTGATTGGGCAGGCTGTTCCTGGGATAGACGTTCTACTGGGGGATTTTGCATCTTTCTTGGATCCTCTCTCATCAGCTGGAGTGCCAAGAAGCAACACACCGTTGCTCGTTCCTCCACCGAAGCTGAATATAGGTCCTTGGCACACACTGCTGCTGAATTAACATGGATCTGCAAATTGTTCACTGATATTGGTTTCAAGCTGCCTTCTCTTCCTCAAATTTGGTGTGATAATGTTTCTGCGATCGCCCTTGCTTCCAACCCTGTTTTCCATGCTCGTACCAAGCATGTGGAAATAGATTACCATTACATAAGGGAACTTGTTCTTGCCAAGTTGCTGGCTGTCCAATTTGTATGCAGTCAGGATCAACTTGCTGACATTCATACCAAATCCCTTCCTAGGCAACGCTTTCTTTTTCTCCGGTCCAAGCTATCACTTCAACTTTCTCCGTTTAGCTTGAGGGGGTGTGAAGAGAAAGTTACTCAAGTAACTCAACATAATAGTAATAACAAACAGTTAAAAGTTAGTTAGGAAAATTACCACACTTGTAACTTTCCTTTACTCTGTTAGTCTGTTGTATTTAGCTTCCATATAAATACTCTTGTAACTTATCCTTTGAGGAAATGAAAATCATTTCTCAATACTAGCTTCCTTCCTCAACGATCTCACAGCCACCCTTATAGAATCTGCATCCCGCCTCTTAGTGAAAGATTTTGACATTCTCATAACACTTCCACTAAGTATTTCAGCCTCTGTCTTGATCCCATAATGTTCCATCAGATTTCCCAACTTGTAATCATAATTGCCCTTGTAATAGATAGCATCTTCAATGTAATCCTCGAAGCCATCAACTTCCATGTCAGGGTCGTATGACTGCTTCGCCACTCGACGAGTGAAGGATGTGATAGAGCCTTCATGAGGCGCAATGTCCTTCACCTCACGAAAAAGAGCTCCAATTACATTGGATGACTGATAGGTGGGTTTGTCAAGTTTTTCCATGAAATCTGGATATTCCTTGGCGTATAACTGTGGAGGTATTACAGCCGGCACACCAGTTTTTGGAAAGTCAACGGCAATTGAAAATAGCTTTGCAAGCTCTATACATTCTTTGCTCATTGCTTTTAAGGGATCTTTGTCTGCAAACACAGTGTGGGCATTGGCAATTATGCCCAAGCTATCATTGACCATGTAGTTCACAAAATATTCTTCAACTTCCTGCACCAAAAGAGAATGAAGATCAAGTATACTGGGTTTTGTTTCTCACGAAAACTGCCTTGCATGGCATGAGACAAAAGAAATGGAAAGTGAATCGAAGTGTTCGCTGAAGTGCAAATACATCAAAATAAATTAAAATTAAGTTTCCCCTTCAAGCAAACATCAAAGTCAAACAAAACAAAAGAACATCAAAGCTATCATCAAGACAGTTTTTCCTTTTGTGGGTCAAGAGAAACGATCAAATTCAATACTCGAAAAACACCACTAGAAGAAGTATTATGTTCAGTACTATACTACGATGTACCAGCAACAGAGAGTCAAAATTTGGATTGGCTATCTTAATTACAGTGTGAAAAAAAAAACTCTAAATTACTTATTGAAGAAATTCCAAGTTTTGTACAGCAACATGATATGATGATAACTCAAGAATTTCGTATTTAGTACTTGAATTTTAAAATTCAAGTCAATTCTCAACATGAAAAGTTAGCAAAGGCAGGTAGCCCCCCGGGCGATGCTGCTTAGTAGGTTGCTTATTGAAGAGTATTACCTCAATTGTGACATCATGATCCAATTCTATAGTTGGTGCTGGGGTATAATCCATGGGTTTGATTTGCTTCCGAGGAATTAGTTCTTTGTCCCAACAAACATAGTAGATATCTCCATCAAGATCACTTCCTGAACATTCATTTGGATGAGGCCTAACAAATATAAACAATATTTCAATCATTAAGTAATGTTTATCAGAAAGTTTTTGTACTCGATTATGCAGAAAAACCAAGGAAAAGTAGAACTTTGTAAGTAACTTAAGAATTTCTAAGAAGTAGCATCTACAGAGGAAACCATGTCCAAATTTTGAAACAAATGTTTGTACAAATAAACTGCAAAGCCGTACTGGTTTATCTCCAGCAGAAAAGATATCCGCAGAAATTGCATTCCATGGACTCAAGTACATAATGGTTATATGCATGTTAACTGGAAGATGTGATGATATTTATTTTTTCAATCGAAATCAGTGTTCTTGATTTTTACATTAAACAATCTACTGCAAACACATAAAGACACAGAATGGATATTTTGGACTAGATTCACGACCTCATGATGCATTACACATTCTTACCTAGGTCCTTTTTGTGGAAAAACGACACAATCAACCATATGGTACAACCCTGGCACATCCACAGCCTTTAAAACACGTACATCGCCAGGATGCAAACAAGGGTTCTTCGCAACAACTACCTTCCCCACAATAATGAATTGCTGGTTTGATGCACTTACAGTATGCCTGTTACCAGAGAACTGCACAAACACCTCACCATGTTCCAATGTTCTGGTTTCATCTAGACATCCCATCATTGCTCGTCCATCTGGAATAAAGATCCTTGTTTTCGTCCGCAACTCTAGCAACTTTGATGCCCGAAATGTTTGCAGCATCATTGAAATGAATGGTTCAACATCAGGTTTATAACCACATATAAGCAATTCCTTCAAGCAGTTGGTAGTCTCCCCTGGAGACATCAAATCCAGAGCCTCTCGTGCTTTTAGTGGGTCAGTCAATATAGCATTCAATTGTTGTACAGCTGCCCTTTGTTTTTTCTTGAAAACATGATCTGGAACCCCAAGGGTCGATAAAAGAGTTATCAACTGGCGGTTCAGAAAACAAGGTTGAATCTTGCTACATGCTAAAACATCTAACTTTGTGTTTTCTGATTCATACTTGGACATGCTCCTCCTCAATGATAATTTCATTGATGAAGTTGGATCAACGGCCACGACACCTTTGTACCCACCATATCGAATCTGAAAGGCAGATGGAGTCCCATTAAAGCCACATTTTGAGGCCACCTTCTTAGCAAACTTGGCAGATATTTTCCCAATCCCATCGGAGAAGACGTATTTATTGTTTTTTACATCGGGAATAACTTCCATTTCATGTTTTCTAACATTTAAAGTTTCAGTGGACGAACCAAAGGATTGACCCAATCTGGCAGCATATTTTGCCACATTTTTTATGCGACGAAAATCCCCCATCCACTCTCTTATATCAGCTGCAGTAAGTCCCTGTCTTGAAGCAAACATCCACATAGAATTCTCTCGCAATTGACTAGATGAGAAGGCGAGAAACTCGAATTTCTTTGCACCAATTACTATGCCGTTTCTGAGAATAAAAAGAATCCGCTTGTAGATGTCAGTTTTCCCATCCTCATAGGCAGCAGAAGTACGTGGAAGCAAATCCGCAGAATAAACTCGATCCATCTCCTCGTCAACAAAGGAAACACGAATGAAGTTATCAATATCATCTGGATAATTGCGTAGTACACGATTTGAGACATTGACCTCAGGACCAGAAGAAAATACACGACATGGTGTAATTTGGACCCTGCGTACATATACCAACCCAGAATCTAAGGATATGACAGATGACTGTGGACGTCTCTTTGACGTGAGGTACTTCATGTACTGCTCATAAAGCCACTCTGAAGGTTTATAGCAGGTCTCTTTCAAATTATATAATTTATCTAGGGCATACTCTATACATGCACGATCAATTCTGAGGGGATCAACCATCTTATAAAATTTAACATCGAGTGTTGGCCCTGAAAGACACCCAAGCTGAAGCAGAGAATGTACTTTAAACAAGATATCATATGGCACATTAACCCCTCGAGGAGGAAAAACCATAGGACCCAGACTCGGGTTGCAAGAATAAGGGGGACCAATCTCCAAGACAAGGTTACCTTCAATCTCTTCATACCCAGGAAAGTTTTCTCGAAAATCTGGAAGTTTGAGACTACGAGGAAGCTCCAAGCTTAATGCAAAAGACTGCCCAATAGCACGAGATGGAGTGAAATCAGTTGTCCGGACCCACCGGTCATCACAGTCCATGAAATAGTTCAGAATACGATCTTCATATGCTTGTCCTGAAGAGCGTATGACTTTCTTAGAAATCCGAGGTGCTCCGTGCATCTGATAATTGGAGACAAATTCATCAAACTTTTCAAGATTACTAATTCATAAAAGAGAACATATAATTTTTCGCCAACCGCAGTAGCCAGCATGAAATGATTCAAATACATGGCAATGAGGACCAAAACATGCTTTGACAACAGTGAAACGAATCTGTAATGTCATCCTTTAAGTGATAAAGGGGTTATTTCAAAGAAAAACTAATGAAAATGGTTTGAAAACTTTGAGTTTTAACGATAAGGACAAAATAAAAGGTCACACATATTTAGAAGCAAATGCACCATGTAGATGATGTAAAATTATTCAATCGTAAACAGAACAAGGATTAGGAGAAGAAAATCATTTGAATTTAACTGCTGATTAAAAATAGGTGAGTAACCTGAATCAGAAGATGCTTAGCAGCACGACCGCGTGTACGATGCAACTCAATCTGCCAGATGTTTTCATAGGAAAGTTCGAGCATATACTCCAGAGCGTCATATTTCAGACGACAAACGAGTTTCCGCAATCCAATCCCAAAATCCACTGAAACATTGTTCATATTCCAGAAACTAAATAGCTTATTTGTTGCGATCTTGCAGCCAAAATCCAGCTTTATGTTTTCAAAGGTATGCAAAGAGACTCTTGGATTTGGTACAATATCATGAGCCACCTCCCAAGATTGCAGATAGGAAGCGCCATAGTACAAGTTTTTAGCATTGGCCATGTCGTGAATAAATTCAGCATTTCTGGTTGTGTCAAACTGAACAATAGCATAATATCTTCTCCCATCTTTGGCTTTTCTTAACCTCACAGCATAGACAGATCCGCTTCCTGTTTCGTTCTCCAGCAATCGAACAACTGCTTCTGCAGTCACACCCGAAGGGAATCCATACAACCTTATCGTCCTACTCATCTCTTATCATGTGAATTTATTCACTGCATTATGCTGCCAAACAATCCCATATGAGTAAAATGTACCAGTATGGTTATATTGACTTCTGAAATTAAGGTCTCATTTGGAACTGTTTTTAAAATGACTAAAAGCGCATTTGGGGCAAATGTTTTTCGCTTCCAAAAGCACTTAAACTGCTTCCTACGAGAAGTTTAAGTGTTTTTCCATGATTCACTTGCACTTTTATTAAAGATTGGTCCCAGAAACATTTTTTCGCAAAAAACGCTCTCAGCTATTTTAAAAGCAGTACCAAATGAGCCCTAAGAACCAGAAAGTCTGGCTGAATCCAAGAAAAATTAAGCTAAGAACAAATATGAACCTCATAACCCAAAGCCACCCAAAAGTAAAACATGTAACAACCTAACAAGTATATGATCATTTTTTAGAGGATCAACAATCAGAAAGAACAAGATGATAATTCTGCTATACAAAAAAGAGGCAAAACAACCAAAAAAAGAGAGGCCTTTTGTTATGTAATTGCAGTTGAGAGCAAAAGTAAAGATTTTTCACTGAATAAAACTAAGCATAAAATAACCAATACATCCAAAATTATAAAAATTCAGAACAAAATAAAACTGGACAAATACCCCAATGAATGTCCCATTGATGCAGGAAGAGTAAAGGACACAGATTTATCAGAGGCAGAAACCCAAGGAGAAAATTACACAGGAAAAAAAATATTAGCTGCATAAAAACTTGATCAAACAAAAGCGATCAGAGAAAATTAACTCACATTGTTCCAATGGATGCAGGAAGGAAACAAAGCGATCAGAGAAAATCCAAACGAAAAGCAACGGAACCAGAAGAGAGTGGAGAAGTATACCGTAAGTCTCAAGTCTGATCAGAGTAAAATACCAACTTTACCAAAAAAGTAAAGCTGGAAGTTGGATCGAAGCAGAAGAGAGAGACTTACTGTTGGTTGTCAATCCCTAGTCAATCTCACATCCTCAGTCCTCACTCCCTACTAACTACTTCCTTGTTCCTTCCATATCAGCGGCAATGATTGTTCTTAGGCTAATATCCTTAAAAAGTATTATGATGATGACGTGTGCAACTGACGTTGGAGTTACCTATGCCATTGGCCATTGCCACGAAGGAACCTACAGGACCAGGATCCTCTGCGTTTTTTATAGGTGTAATACTGTGCAAGCATCATAACATCCACCGTTCATAAAAATCCAAAGGTTAACATCCGTCGATTTTATCTAATGGTGGAGTGAAAAAGCTTATCAAATAAGAATCAATTTCACTTTTAATGTTTAATTTTGCTTTCTAGGTAAGTAATGTAGTTCACAAGGATCCGGTCTCAACGTGATGATTCTTGTCGTCTTGTGCATACTTTTTCTATGTTTTGGAGTGGTGGATTGACTCCATGAAGACGATAGAAAATGAACTTCCCCAGCAAGCATGAACTATAACACAATCATATTCTATTGGGTAGTGCTAGCCCCACACTCGCTTTTATTTTCTTACAAATTTTTCTAATTTTCGTTCGTCGATAGAATGAATTGAAGAATATTAATCATGAAAAATTAAAATTAACAAGAATAACTCCTAAGTATTAATTAGGGTGCTCATATTGCAATGGCGTGACCTAGAGCGACTACCAGGGGGAGAGAACCTCCGTAGTGTTTGTGAGGAAAACTAGATGTGGGTGTCGTCACCATAGAAATAGTATTATTGATATTGTTATGCAAGGGCTGCTTGTGTTGGCCTGAGATGGGAAAACTTGAGTGTCCGATTTTAAAGAGTGACAAGATCAACGAAGAGCCTAAAAACATACTCAGCAATCTCCTCGGACTCGTATTCAGCAAATGCATAACCCTTAGGTCGTTCGGTTTCTTTGTCCCAAGAAATGTGCTTGTCTACCACCCTCCTTGCCTGAATTAATTTATCGTACAAAGCTCTATCGCTCACTCGCTCCTCCAAATTACTTATTTAAATGCAGCACCTGGATTTTGACTCGGCGGTGGTGGACATGATGGCTGAACCCTAGCTAGCTCGAAACCAATGAAGTATTCTATTAGGAAACTACATCTTTTTTCCCTCTTTAATGGTAGATAAAAATTACTATAGTTAGTTGAGAATCAACTCTACTTTTCTTTTACCCTTTAAATTCTGTATTTTTGACTAACATTTAGTCTTGTGAACCGCAGGGAGTGGTGGTGGATACTTGTTTTTTTTTTTTTTTTGGGTGAACTATGCTTTTTCTTTTTGGCCCATATTGAAGTGAGAGATTGACTCCATGAGGTGACCTCAATAAAAGACGACATGCTGAACTTCCCCAGCAAGGACTTCCAAGGAGCAATTCTGTGTGCAGCTCCCCACTAGACGAGCAATATTGATGCGTTCTAATACAATTATGATAATTAGGTATCATGGCTGTGTGACTGTGTCCAAGCACGAAATATCTTACTTACACGTTGCAAAAAATACTGATATACAATAGTGCTAGTTGAAATTATAGATGTATTGTTGAAGTATATAAGCACATGACATGTATATTTTATACGTAAAATGGTATTCTAAACTCGTTCAATCAATAAAGATAATGATCGGACTTGGATTTAAAAATGGATTCTACGTCGCAACACAAACGAGCCAAATTCCACTTTGAACCAAATGGGCCAATCCTGGGCCGAATCTTCCCATGTATTTGCCGTCAAAATTTAGCTCCAATTTACCGAAAAGCAAGGATAGCCAAAAATCGCAAGAGCATGCAACACTTCAGTGAAGATTTATACTCTCAGCATGTGCTCGCATGACAGGAACTCGTATACAAGAAGCAGTTAACTTGACATCATTGTTACTCTGAGGAAATGGACAGCGAATAAATGATCCATATTAACATCTGCAAACTTACATTACTTCAACTGGAAACCGAAAAAAGATCTGCAAGAGTTGAGCGCTTGAAAAATTTCGAGAGTTGAATGAATTCGACTCAGCAAAAAGGAAGCTTACAATGTTTACACGATTGCGAATAACAAATGTAGATGAAAATTTAGAAATGCTAATGACAATGTAATTTTACAATCAGTCAGAAAGTAACTAAAATAAACCGAGGCAAATGACAAGGGAAGTAGCACCCTTGATAGCCGTACTTACATGAACTTTAACAGCTTAAAAAAAACATAACAAATTACAAATCATAATCACAGCAGAAAACGCATGCTTCGGAATTTGTCAAGCATGACGCCGCTTTGATCGGACATATGAAAAGAATTCCTCGTACTTGTTTTCTCCCTCTTGATCTGGATCAGCTTGTCGAAAACACACCACGGAAAGCTGAGGAAATGATCCCTTTCCATTCCCTTGTTGCAGCGACCCCAGTAACGAGGATGATATGTGACGTAGTACCATGCTGACGCTTTTGTTGTGGATACATCATCGACATCGGTGCTGGAATCTGACTGTTTCGCATAAAACCAGGTCCTAGCTTCCTTTTTAAGTGACCTTACAGCGTAATTAATGGTCTCCAAGTCCTTTCTCCTATTGAAAAATTTCGACACACTGGTGATGTTCCCAGTTAGTATATCTGCTTCAGTTTTGATGCCGTAGTAATCCATCAAGTTTCCCAGCTTGTAGTCATACTCCCTTTTGCAGTTGATGGCATCATCGATGTAAGCTTCGAATCCGTCTACCTCCATGTCAGGATCATAGAACTTCCCAGCCACTTCCACGGTGAAGGATTTAATTGAGCCTGAATGTGAATGCGATCCAAGCTCAACATTTTTCACCTGTCGGAAAAGCTTCCCAATCACACGTCTGGACTCATACGTAGGTTTCTCAACCTTTTCCATGAAATCCGGATATTTTTTGGCACGCAGACTACGCGGCACTTCCACTACCACGCCTGTTTTTGGAGAGTCGACAGCATAGGAACAGTGCTTGGCGAGCTCTATACATTGAGCACTCATGGCCTTCTGTGGTTCTGTGTCTGCAAAGACAGCATGTGCATTTGAAATGATCCCCAGCATGTCGTTCACTATGTAGTTTGTAAACGACTCTGCAACTTCCTGCAACAAACAGCATAGAACACCAAATGTTAAGTGAATAACGTAGAAACACGATTGTAGAATATGTTTTTTAGTAACGATAAGCGATAAGCGGCTACATTGTACTTAATAAATTGAGTAATACCTCCATTGTAACGTCGTGATCCAATTCAATAGTTGGTGCAGGGGTATAATTCATTGGTCGAACTTTCCGAGGTGGAATTAGATCTGAGTCCCAACTAACAAAGTAAAAATCTCCATCTAAATCTCCTCCTGAGCATTCATCAGGATGCGGTCTAATTCAGCGAGAAAAAAATAATAGTGAGTACGTACACAATTGAAGGCAACAAATTATTGTAAAACAGAGTAACACTAATATGCAGATGCAATCCAAAACGAATTTGAAATTTCATCAGCTACAAGATTTGAGAAAGTTGACATACCTCTTTCCTTTTTGCGGGAAAACTACACAATCCACCATGTGGTGCAATGCCGCCACGTCCACGGCTGTGAGAACACGAACATCTCCCGGGTGTAAACAAGGGTTTCTAGCAACTACAACATTCCCGTCCACAACAAACTTCTCTTCGCTCGAAGTAGTGTTGCTGTGAGCACTGCCAGTGGAAATCACGCGGTGAGAGCATTGCACAAATACCTGACCATATTCCAACGTTCCAGTTTCATCCAGACATCCCATCATTGATCTTCCATTCGAAACAAATATCCTTGTTTTTGTCCGCAGTTCCATGAGCTTGGATGCGCAGAATGCTTGTAGTCAATGACAGAAATGGTTCTGCATCCGGCTTGTAACCACACGACAGCATTTCCTTCAAAACGTCTGTGACCTCCCCTTGAAATATCGTTTCGAGTGCTTCTTTTGCTCTTGATGGGTCAGTTAAAACGCCCTCCAGTTGATTCAAAGCCTGTCTTTGCTTCCTCTGAAAGACATGATCCGGGACTCCAAGGGTGGACAGAAGGGTGATCAGTTGACGATTGAGGAAACAAGGCTGGTACGTGCTCCATTTTAGAACATCAAGTGCTGTGTTGTTGGATTGGTACTTGCACATGCTCTCCCTCAGTGCCAAGTTCTTTGCCAATGTCGGATCTACTGCCACGACACCTTTATAGCCACCTCTACGAATTTGAAACGCTGATGGAGTACAACTTCTCCCGCACTTTCTTGCCACCCTTTCAGCAAATTCAGCAGATATCTTCCCAATTCCATCAGAGAAACAATATTTGAATCCACTCCTTTCGATTTTAACATCAGGAATGAGTTCGATTTCATCCCTATCGACATTAAAAGTCTCCCTGGAAGAGCTGAAAGCCTGGCCCAACCTAGCACCATATTTCGCCACATTTCTGATGTCTCTAAAGTCCCCCATCCAATTTCTAATGTCTTGTGCGCTGAGCTCACTTCTTGACGCAAACATCCACACTGAATGCTCGCGTAACTGACTTGATGAAAAGGCAAGAAACTCAAACTTCTTGTCACCAATGACAATGCCATTTCTTATAGTAGAAAATATCCTTTCATAAACTCTCGTCCTCCCTTCCTCTTCTGCAGAAGTGTTACTTGTGCGCGGACGGGAACATAAATCTTTCGAATGTATCGTACCCAAGTCCTCATCCACGAAAGAAACACGAAGAAAATTATCAATATCTTGAGGATATTTTCGTAGAACACGGTTGGAAAGATTTACCTCCGGACCACAAAATAAACTTTAGATGGTGTGACTTGAACCCTGTGCACATACACCATTCCATCATCTAAGGAGATAGCAGGTGTTTCAGGAATTCGCGTGCACGACATGTAGTCTCTGTACTGCTCACTAAGCCAACTCACAGGATCATAGCAGCACGCTTTCAAGCGAAATAATTTGTCCAGGGCACACTCTATGTAGTCAATTCTTATTGTGCTAGGATCAACTAGCTTATAAAAAGTGACATCAAGTGCTTGCCCTGGAACACGTCCGTGCTGAACCAAGGAATTGATCTTGAACAGGAT